GGTCCCTGCGAACCGGTTGGTTGCCGAACCCGGAAGTAAGTAACTTCCGGGGACGGCGAAGGGCGCGTCTGCCCGCCCGCGGTCCTTACCCGGGTTTGACGAGTTCTGCGCTTCCACGCATGCGCAGGACGCATACAGCGCCTGCATGATCGTCCAGGAGCAGCTGGAGCATCGCGCAGACGCTAGTACACATGCATGCACTGCGCGTGTGCACGAGGACGCCGCCGGCCCCGTTCCAACCGAACCGGTTGGAACGGGGCGAGAAACCCACCCCTGCACTAGACCAAAGATCAAGAATCAAACAATACCCAAATTAGTTTTCCATGAATACAATAGCTATCGATTGTAATACCAGTAGCTCTTTTATTCTTGTGTCAGAAGAAATATGCAGTGTCTCGGTGCAATTTTATTTTGTATTACCTTTTACTATTATTAAACATTTTAATATTTTTTTAAAAAGGAATATACAGGAAAGCTACATTTGCACTCTGGCCCTGCCTATGAATTTTCCTAAGTAACTGTTTGGTCACTCTGTTAACAGAAAGCCTGTTTGATCTACTTCTTACATTCTTAGGAGAACACTGAGCTGCTTCATCACCTCCTTGAAGCTCTGGAGTGTGGTGCACCCCCACATGGAGGAATTGCACTAGGTCAGTATCTTTTTTTTAAATTTTGCTACATACAGGTAGTTACATTACCTTACTGTTATGGTCCCTAATTCTATGAGTCTATGAATAAATAGTAAGCGCAGTGATATCACTGTGAGAAAGATCGCAAAGTCAATTGATTTTTTTTTCCTGAATTATTTCTACATAGAAAACCACACATTTTTTTAAGTAAAAAGCTGTTTCAGGTTTTTTTTTCCTGTTGTTGTCTAAAGTGTTCTGATGCACAATCTGTGCCCTCACAAATAAAACACTTTCCAGTTGTTTCTCCAAACTAACTGCATATTACGAAAACTGGTACCTTGGTGAAAGAGCAAAGTTAATTCATGCTTATCTCTAGGGCAGTGTTTCTCAACGTTGGCAACTTGAAGATGTCCGGACTTCAACTCCCAGAATTCTCCAAATTCTCCATTCGCTGGCTGGGGAATTCTGGGAGTTGAAGTCCGGACATCTTCAAGTTGCCAACGTTGAGAAACACTGCTCTGGGGTATGAAAGCGCAAACATTTTCCAATATAATTTTTTTTTTTAATATAGCTGAGGCAGAAAAAAAACTTGCTTTGCAAATTCTTTGGCTCATTATACAAAACCAGTATGTAAGAATATATATATTTCATTTATCAGCCAAGTTTGTCAAATCTTTATTCTTTATTCTGACTTATTTTTATCTCAGTGTAGCTAGGAAGAAAGCAATAATGGTTTGTAAATTGGTTATTTTGAAATGAGAAATAGATGCTTTTCTCTCTATTTGGGGATCTTTGTCCCCAGTCATAAAAAAGGCGACATATTCAATAAAACAATTACATGGTTTTATTGATTCAGCATTTAAATACTTATCCCTGTGACATATTCCTCAATTGCAGCACAGTTAATTAAAGGCATGTTGCTCACCAACAGTTTTCCCAACTGACATAAGCAGAGAGGTTATCTAAATTAATGAAATATATGTTATAATTCCTTCATTCCAGAAAAATTCCGAACATTGAAAAGATAGCCAGAGTAGTAAGAGGTAAAAAGCAGTGAGTGAATTAGCAAGTGCATAGAATAAGAAGCTCTTACATTCTACTGTACATGCATTTTGTTTCACCCTTCAGACGCTGTCCATTTTATAATCTAAAAGTGTTAAAGTACCCACAGCTTTTTCCTGAAATGAACCATACTTATTTTACCAGTACAATAAATTTTATTAATGGAGAGATACCGATATACTTTTTATACCTTCATTGACAGCTGTATGATCCTGTTTACAAATCTCGTTTAACTTTATAGCACTATTAATATTTAGTGCATTTCTTTTTCAGGGCTTGACAGACTGATTTGCCTTCTAGTTGGAGGTTCGAGCATTCGCGATGTCATTGCTTTCCCTAAATCTTTCAAGGGAAGAGATTTGATGAGCAATGCTCCAGATTATGTCGACCCACAAGAGCTTGAGCCGTATCATGTGCAGGTTACATGGCCCTTGACAGAAGCTAAAGCTAGGACTAACTGAGAATTATTTATTCGTCACAAATCTTAGCAAAGACACTAAATTTGTCACTAGTGAACAGATTATCCATTTTATTGTGGGAAAAGAGAACTGTTGAAAGAATCAAAGGCATCCTTCATTAATACTGTACAATGAAAATTTATTTTGTGTCACCTTTGTAAATATGGAATCATCACAAATATGAAGCTTTTCTATATTTGTATATCTGAAGTACAATAATGTTATGTTCAAAAGACAGCATGTCCTATTACTATTTAAGATTTTTAAGATTTTAACTTTATTTATATGCCGCCCTTTTCCCTGAGGGGACTCAGGGCGGCTCACAATCCAG